ATTACTCTAGAAGTTGTACTGAAGTATCTTGACCCTTCTGTCTCTGCATCCATCTTTTTCGGGTCAGAACATGCTGCTTAACTTCACTTTTAATTAGGTGTACGAAATTTATTCTCAGCATGGCAGATCCATGTGGGGCGCCCTTTCTGACGAGAGGTCGGGTCTGTCATTTGTCAGTCATAGTCGATAGTATTAGTCCATTGTCGCTATGTACACTTATTTCCAACTGAGTCTTAATATCTAGCATGTATAATATACAAGGCCTCTGTCAGTCTAGGCTCAGTACAGCAGACTGTGCCCTATTTCTAGTAGTATTCTGTTACGAATTCTGTCACCTACTTACATAGACGGGCCGCGCCATAGCTCAAGCGGTTAGTCGCTGGCTTCCCCCCGCGGCGGCCCGGGTTCGGTTCCGGGTCTGGTCAAGCGGGATTTTTGGTGGACAAAGTGGGGCTGGGACAGGTTTTCTCCGAGTACTTGGTCTCCCCTGCCAATCTTCATTCCACCAGTTGCTCCACAATCACCCTCACCTATCATCTGGGCCTGGTACAATAGGCCAGAAGTGGCCGCAGTACCAGGGACTTAAAAAAATTTAAATCAAATCGACGAGTGTATATTAACAGAGATTTTAAACATAGCTGACAAAATCTGCAAGGGAATTCTGGTATATCGTGACCGATTGAAACGCAGCAATGACAATTGTGAAAGCTGGTGTTTTTAAATGTTAAATTACATGCAGTGACAGCTACGTAAGTGAAATACACCTGATGATGGCCAGTTACGGCCGAAACATGTAGTGTAAAAGAAGAAAGACAAAGAACTACAATAAATTGTTGCATTTACGATGATATTTATATTACACATATAGACTCTTTTAGTTCAGTTAATTTAGGTAATCTAAATGAAACTGTATTAATTTTAAGTTTTATAGTAATGTTATTTTTAAATTTTGTTTATTAATTAAAATTGTATTCAGTTTTTTATTTTTTATTCTATTATCTATCTTAATTGACTGATGTATGTGATTTTAATTATGTAACTCATATAATTTATTATATGTATCTGGACACATCTATTATCAAAGGGATTATTTGCACATCCTAGGTTTCTACCTGTATGGATATATGGAAAATAAAGGAAATGAATGAATGAAGTGATCGCTATCTAGCAAGTTCATTGGCGCGTCGGTCGGTTCTACAGAAAACACAGCTTCCTCTATTGTTGCGTGTTTGACCGTGTTCACAGCGCTGTTGCTTGGCAACGCGTTGGTCAAATCCGTTACATTATAGTGTAAATAGAACCTTGTAAATGTCTAATGACATCGTAACGCCACTATTTGGCGGTGACGCAACCTGGAAGATATTTTAGGAGATCAGTAGCACGATAGGTAAGTACCAACGTTTCGGAGGAACATTGTGCCTCAATGTTCACGAAATTTTTAAAGGAAAAGTTATGGTAGCTTAGTGTGATAAATGTGTTCATATTTCCCCTGTTTCTTTTGCACATTTATTTTTTAATATAATAGGTTAAAATGTCTTTTGGAAAGTGTTATCTGGTCTAATGTAAATGGTTCTGAGTTACGCTTCGGGCCAAAAGTTCACTTGAGGTCATTAGACTACGATTTTCCTCCAACCCGGTTAAGAATGGGTGGAGTTACACACCATTTTTCCAAGGCTGGTGCTTAATTAAGTACAGGAACAACTCCAATTGTTGGCAAAGTTTCGCTGTATAGGAGCAGAGTTCTGAGTGCTGACACATAAAGGCGTTCTCATCACAGTGGAATGTGACACCGTATAATCTGGTAGTAACAGACCCAACGAAGGAAGTTCATAATTTCTAGTCATCGCCAAATATTTTTAGGATGGTCAAATCGAGGAGGATGAAATAGGCAGGTCGTATAGCGCAAGTGGGAGAGAAATGCATACAGAATTTTAGTACGAAAGCCTGAAAGGAAAGAGACCACTAGAAAAACAGAAATTGTTGGAACGGAAAAACTGAAATGGATGTGTGGATTTTCACTGGATTCTTTTGCCTTGAGACAGGGACCAGTGACGGATTCTTGTGAACCCGGTAAAGAAACTTCAGGTCCCATAAAATGCTGAGCGACTGGTGGCTTCTCGAAGATGACTCTGCTACATGGAGTTGGTTACTTGTCAAGTCTTCCGCCTTAAGAATTATAAGATCGTCATGCTGTGTGTGCCTGTATTTGTGTGATCCTTTCCCACAAACCTGACGATCGCGGGTTAGATTCCCGATGAGACTATTGGGTTTTTCAATTAACCTAGTTTTTTATACATCTGCACTACGGTTGCGGTTTTGCTTTCGACTCGGTCTGTAAATGAATTTTCCTGCGGGTAAAGGGCGGCTAGTCGTCGTGTACGGTTAAGAACCTCACCGCCATCTTTGAGCCGATTTTCTATAAAATGTGGAAGCCTTGACGTCTCGCAACCCTATGGACTTTCACAGCCTGTTACAGGGATAACTTCACCGTTTTACTTCTTTAATTTCTGAAAAACTTGGCGAAATTTTGTACAAAAGTTCTGTCCTTAAAGTTCAACCCAATTCGATACGTTCTGACGTCTTTTGATTAGTAATTAAGTGGCGATTTGGATACGAATTTGTTACGGGGAAGCGACATTGGACCCTCTTAATGAAAGGTCCCGAAACGATATCTGATGATAGATCGTTAAAAAATACGCAACTTCTAAAGCTGATCTTACTGCAGAACGTAAGATAAGAACCAGGGCGGTCATGTGCCAACCTTCTCTTAACATTCAGCATGATTCCAGAAATTTAGTCCTATGATCATCTATTCAGACGCTTGGTAACGTAACGCATCAGATAAATATACATTTTATTAACTACTAGATTATACTTCTTTTTCATGCCTCTTTCAGCCCTTTAAGGGCCCAGGCCTCTTATTCAGTTCCGTAACCATTTTTCATAGACGGTAGGGCTCCTTAGACGAGTGATCAGCCCTTCGCAAGGCCGCTGCCTAAACACAGGACAACACAAACACAGAATTAACGCATACACACACCAAACATCCATGCCTTGAGTGGGATTCGAACCCCCGATCCCAGCGTCCGAGCGACCGAAGACAGTTCATGGCTTAGACTGCGCGGCTATTGTGGCCGGCAGATTATAATATTATCCCTATTTAACTAACGTATATTGTATAACTAGTTCTCCAGGTTGGGGGTTGGACGCAAAGCTGACGACCTTGCTCTGAAAAAAAAAAATATTGTGACGAAATCCAAAGAAGTGAAAACCAGATGCAATCTGTCAGAATCCTCTAAGGAAGGCTATGGCTCTAAATGGACTGTTTTGCAAATGATGATGATGATGATGATGATGATGATGATGTTGATTATGACATTGCATAACAAACGAACCAGCTCCATAGAGCTCAGCCGTTCTTGAAAGGTCACTCAGTTACTAAAGAATTTTTAACTTTCTGTAGAACCCGAACTTTCATTATCGTGTTCGCAAGTGCCCGCCACTGATCTCTAACCAGAGTCCACTCCGTCCTATTTCTCTAGCTTATATTTTAGCAATTATAAAAGACAAGTCCGTCCAATATGACTATTTCAGTTTTCTCACTTGATGATTCACTAGCCTTACATGTTTCGATCAATTTGGATCATCTTCAGAGGCACCAAACACTTTTTTGAAACCACTGTCACAACAGGTGTCATATCAAATACACATGTAATGTCCAAGTACACAATGTTCCATCTATCACTCACAGCAGCCTTTCTGGTTATAGAAATATTTAAAGTTGTTTTAAAGTTTTAAAACTTTGTTAAAAATTAAAATACATAAAACATACGGTTCGTGTCAATAACCCCTGTCGTCTCTCTTCAAGGTGGCCGATGTTGTGCCTCCTATGTAACTTGAGTAGGGAGATTCTTAATATTGTCCGTTATGATTTCTTGGCCCGCTGTGCTGTGTATACCGTATGGTTTATGTATTTTAATTTTTAACAAAAGTTTTAAAACTTTAAAACAACTTTAAATATTTCTATAACCAGAAATGCTGCTGAGAGTGATAGATGGAACATTGTGTACTTGGACATTACATGTGTACTTGATATGACAACTGTTGCGATAGTGGTTTCAAAAAAGTGTTTGGTGCCTCTGAAGATGATCCAAATGGATCGAAACATGTAAGGCTAGTGAATCATCAAGTGAGAAAACTGAAATAGTCATATTGGACGGACTTGTCTTTTATAATTGTAACTGTTAGTGTGACGGACCAAAATGAAACAAATCAAATTCATATATTTTACCATTATTCTCCCACCCTCGTCTAAATCTTTCTAGTGGTATGCTTCCTTTTTGCTTTCCCACCAGAACCCTGCATGTATATGTCTTCTCGCCTGTAAGTGCTACATGCACTGCCCATCTCTTACTCCTTGACATGACCATAATAATTATATTTGATCAGTAAAAATAGCACAAACTTACCGACATGTAAAATTAGCACAAAATTTAGTAGGACTGGAATAAAAATAGGCGCCAGGAATTGAACCTGTAAGGCCTTGTAGTTTTACTGTAGTCTTTGACATTCCTGTTTGAAATGGGTGGGGCGGGGGCCGGGGTCTTTTGCTCGAATGTAGGACTGAAGATTAATTAATCTTGAGTCTTCTCATAGATTTGTTCAGTCTCTACACAGAGGCCAACTCTTCGTGGTAGAAGGCAAAGGCAATAGATTTTTTTTTCCAAACAATTGAACCCATTTATAAGATTGCATGGCGTTATATTACATTTTTTTGTGCTTATATGAAAGTGAATAGGGTTTTTAACACTTAAGGAATGAACTTGAAGTTGTATTCATGCAAGAGGAATTACGTAGGTTCTTTTTTTAATGTGAATGTGTAAGCCCCTGCAATAGTAGCATGATTATATAAATATTGCGATGAATGACTACGGAGCAAGGCCGCTACAGGTATCCTTCCACTGCAATAATCCTACAGCTGCTACGGCAGTAATTATTTAAAGTGCTACTGGCATTTAATAACTTGGGATAATATTATTGATATTTTGCGTGTACCTGCAACTTGTGTGATGCTATACGAGGCAAAGTATGTGTTTTAATTTACATCATTATTGGACTAGCAACTTCACAACAAGAAAGTTTTGAAGGCTATGACATGACTGCGCCTGCTTTGCAAAATGCGATGGTCAACTGTTTTCATTGGGAGTGTAATCATTGTGGTTGAAAGTTTATGACTTGTGGAAAGAATCGAATATGAACTTGGAAAATGATGACTCTTAGTAGTTAAAGAAATAAAATTAAAACAATCCACAAAAAATAATTTAAGGTATAGAATCGTTCGCATTAAAAGCCATAGGCAGTGTAACAGAAGTGATCGGCAAATTATGAATGATTTGGGGTTTTGCCAGCTGTTTTTGTGTGGTTAAGCTTGTCAAAACATCAAGGTCGAACAGCTGTTCAACATCGTATTGGACCGAAAATATTTTTCCATATACCCGATTTTTGTAATGTTAATTCTAGACGTCGGCATGCTCGATTATATGTCTTCGTTGTCAAAATGTAAGTCCAGATATGGATTGTCAAGGTAAGGTCCAAGAGGGATTTTGTGTGAAGGAAAGCTTATTCTCTCACATCTGGTGAAGTTATGGATTTAAAATTTGTTGGGATATACATTTGGGTTTGATATACATTTTTATTGTGCAGATTCGTTTAGCTACTACGTAATTTAAGAACACGTTCCGAAATTTGTGTCAATCCAGCTACATTCCAAATGTAGAGAATAGTACATTGTGCTACTTTAATATTTTAGTGCTGTATAATTTTCACAGATCATGCTTATAACGTAATAGATGGAGCTTATATTTGTTATTGAAGGTCAAATTATTGATCAGCTTGTAGGAAAACTGGCAGTTATGTCTAAACTAACTGTGCTAAGTGGATTAAATATTCAGAGAAACTTCACAGTGTAGTAACACTGAATACAGAAGAATTTTTAACCAAATAATTATGATACCTAACAACAAAATGGGAAATTTTAACTTTCCTGCCTTCTGTTCCTCCAACTTTTGTAGTTAGTTTCCACTTTCTTTCCTCATTCACTTCACACATTTTGTAGTCCCTTTACAGCATGAAGTTTTCCTAAGTGTCTCCAGGCAGATGCATTGTAATACTGTAAGAAGTATGATGTGTAATAATCTTCTCTTCAGTCTCTGGAATCTAAATTTTCTGGCATATATTTCCTTTAGAGTTACTGGGTTTTTGGACTTTGTCCTTCGTTCAGTATTATAAAAACTAGAGAACACTGTGTTTCAGAAACTGGCTCTGTTTCCATCCTCAGGTGAGGGGGGAGACACCTACTCTGTTGGGTCCCTTAGAAACAGGTAACACAGTCATTGGTGCAAAAACCCAGTAATTCTGTGTGTTATATACCATCGTCCTACATATTTTTTCTTGCTATATACAGAGTATTACAGGTATATTGAATTGTTCTTAAACAAGCTGGAAAACATTGTAAGTTATCTTTATAAACCCAAAGCAGTATTTGTCTTCTGTGCTGTCATAAACATTGATTATCATACGAAAAGACAAACAACACCTGAGCTCACTACTAACGTCCTTTAATCTCACATCAGTAGTTAACTTCCTTAGAAGAACTAAGAATCACCCCAGTACCACCATCAATAATATTTTTATAGAGAGCTCCAGGAAAGATCATATTTCTATCAAGGTACTGATAAATGGGCTCTCTGATCATGATGCATAGCATGTAGTTATAAAAAATATAGAATTATATTCATATTACTGTAACTATAAGAAATGAACAGGAATAACAAATAATAACACTGTTATAGAATTTACAGCATGTATAATTAATGAAAATTGGAAACCAATATTAAGCAGCTGTGATGTAAACTCAAAGTTAAACACATTCCTAAACAAATTTTTTGCAAGAAATTATGAAGAACGTTTCCCCACCAAAACAGAGAAAAGGGTGCCTGAAAACTATGGTTGCATAACTAAATGTATCAAAACATCACATAAACATAGACAAGATCTTTGCATAAATTGCCAATCTAGTATGAACCAAACAATGAAGATTCACTGCAGGAAATGTTGCAAGGTTTTAACTCAAGTCATTAAAAGAGGCCAGACATATGCATTAAAATAAATATATTTTTTTTTATTATTCTTAGTGGGGTGAGACCGAGTCCACTTGATACTATTGTACCAGCCCCAGATGATAGATAATGGTGACTGTGCAGCAATGGGTGGAATGAAGATTGGCAGGGGAAACTGAAGTACTCAGAGAAAACCTACCCCAGTACCACTTTGTCCACCACAAATCCCACGTGACCTGATCGAACCTGGGCCGCTGTGGTGGGAAGTCAGTGACTAACCGTCTGAGCTGTGGCACAGCCATAAAATAAACAGATACTAGAGTTGGATAATAAAATACAGATGATCAGGAAATTTGTTAAAAAGGAAGCAGGTAAAATATTCTTCTGAAGAGACCCTGTCAGTAAATATAAATGATGATATAATAAGAAATCCGAAACCCTTAACAAACAATTTTAGTACTCGCTTGTTAGCAGTTATAAGTACAATGAACAGTGACATCAAAGACTTAACAACAGAAGACACAATAATGTAAGTAGCTGAAACAATCTATGAAAGCTTCTCAATTAGAAACCTTATTCTCACAGCAACAAATGAAACCAAAAATATCTTGAATTCTCTGAAATAAAAAAAGTGTGCATTTACGATGAAACTGTGCAGACTACATTGATGTCCCTTTAAGTTATCTTTAGAGTCAATTAATGCCAATAGGAGTTTTCCCAGAACAAGCTAAATGTTTAGAAGTGAAACCACTGTATGAAAGAAAGGTGAACAATTTTGCATATCCAAGGACAGACAAATTTAATAATTAACAGCAATTTTCTAAAAAAATTAAGAAAGTTATAAGAATGTGTTTTCTAAACTCAGTACCTTTGCACGTGAATAATTTGGACATAGGAAGAATCTCTCAACAGCTTTAGAGAAGAAATCTTGCTTCCTTTTTTCGCTTAGTGGGGGGTGGAGTCCACTCGGCATGGCCACTGATTGACCTATTGTACCTGCCCTGGGTGATTATGATGATGGAGAATTTGGTGGAATGAAGATTGACAGGGGAAACCGAAGTACATGGAGAAAACCCGTCCCAGTGCCACTTTGGCCACCACAAATCCCACCTGACCAGACCTTGGATCGAACCTGATTAGATCCTTTTAGTATTGTAATGATTTTGGGGGGGGTATCCTGTGACTGTGTAGGTCTTGAAGTGCTGCTGTCAAAACTAAGTTTTAATGGAATTTGAGGTATAGCTGGAAAGTGAATTAACTAAAATTTCACGTGCTGATTCAGCAAAGTAAAAAATATAAAGCTGTCCTTCTAACAGGCCATAAAAGCTGGAAGGGGTGTGAGAGATCCAGGCTGCCACATCTTCCAGACAGCTCACAGATAGCAGTAAGGTTGTCAGTCTTACATACCTGCTGCCATTAACCCCCCAGGAATCTTCCTGGTACTCATTTCTGTTAAAAGCTGAGTCAACCCAATGGCCATAGTGTGGCTGGAAGGATTAGGTAAATTGAAAATATTCAGGTACCTCATCAGGACTTGAACCTGCAACCTTCAGGCTTGTAGCTTAGTGCCTCAACCAACTACACTACCATGTGTCCCTGCAAGTCAAAATAAAATCATTGAACTCAAATTATAAAACAAATTTCACTGGGGCATTCTAAAACATAGTGTTCTCAAGGTTCAGTGCTTGGTCCTTTGCTTTTCCTCATATAAATCAATGATCAGACCAGTCTCAACCTGTACTCTTTGCTGGTGATATTATTATTTTGACATCCAGAAATTGTCTGTTTTTGAAATTACATGAGTGATGTCTTTGCTAGCTAGAACAGATGGTTTAAAACTAATGAACTTACATTTCATTTTGACAAAACAATTATGAAATTTTGTAAAATTGTCCCTGTGCTTAACTAATTATGCACTATGCCATGAAGGTGTATGGGGGAGTGGCTGTATAAGTCTACATTTTCTTGATATCAGCACTAGATGGAGGTGAGTGGTCAGCTTCGCACCCCTGACACTTTGCCCCTGGGGAAAGAGCTTCCTGTACCCATTGGATAGGAGGCTGGGTGGGACCCAGAGCTGATCTGGATGAAGTGGGGAAGAGAAACTCCATGACCCTACTGGGACTCGAAAGCCGACCTCTTGGTCGTCCAGCCCTTAGCCAGTCGCTATACTGACTACGCTGTCTCATATGAAATTTTGTACTAGCAACGAAACTTGCGTTAATTTAAAGGTATGGTATGATGATAGAAGTAGAAATACCTAAATTCCTTGGTCGTCAACTTGACAGTGACAAAGTAGAAAAACTTACTGAATATATTTTCCCGTGAGTGAGTCCAACATGCTTTGCTGTGAGGACAGTCACGTTACTCATGAAAATATAAACTTTAAAATTAATTTACTTCTCTTACTTTCATTGTTTGTTGTAGATAGTGTGGAAGATTTTCAAACAAATCCACGTGTATGCAATAGAAATACAAGATATAACCTCCATGTTCCAGCCACTGACCTGAGGAAATATCAGAAAGAAGTTTACTGTGCTGGAACTAAGTTGAATGAATGAATGAATGAATGTATAAGGGGTGGGCCTTCTTGGCCCTTGCACTGCGACCACAGTGATCTATTGTGCCTCCCCTTCTATTTATCCCCTCAACAATCCGGCGCTTCGAATGAAGCATAGGATTTTGTACATGGGGATGTCGAAATAGTCACTTGGTTCCATAAAATATTGACCCAAGTGATGCAGTCTTACATAAGCTAAGGCCTCACATTCGCTGTTTCATTTTCTTCTTGACGCTTCTCACAAGTTGGGCTATCACTTACTCCACTTACTCCCAGAGTGAAGAGATGTCCTTCAAGGTGACAGTGTCCTGTAAGTAGTCCTACCATCCATTGTAGCTGGTTCCTGTTTACCTTCAACAGTTCCTTCACTCCTTTAGTAGAGGGTCCTTGTATGAGTCCCTTTGCTTGCTTGAGTCCAGTTAAGGATCCCCAGTATTTCTTGTGCTTCATATTTGTCCAGTCCATGATTGCCTGTCTGGCAACTCCTATAGAGATGCCACAGGCTGGTTCAGGTCCTATGAACGGATGTTCAGCTCCAATCTTGGCCAATTGATCTGCTATTTTGTTTCCAGCAATACCGTCATGCCCCAGCACCCATATCAGTTGTACCCTGTTATGTTTGGCCAGTTCCATGATGGTTTGGTGGCAATCTCAGACAAAATTTGAGTTGATCTGGTGTTTGTCAAGCGCTTTAAGTGCAGCTTGGCTGTCAGATAGAATGTAGATGTTCCTATTTCTGTAGTTCCTGTCTAGATTCTCCATAATACATGCCTTAATGGCATATACTTCTGCCTGGAATACTGTCATGTACTGCCCAAGGCTGAAACTAAGTTTCTGCCTCGTGCCATGGCAGTACATACCAGCTCCAGTGCCCTTGGAACCATCTGTATACCAGATCAGTCCCCC